GCTTCGTTTAACAGCACAAGACTGGAATGTAGTTGTGTCCCTAGCTTTTGTGGTTTTTTAGTATTTTAAAAATATATTGAATATATTAAATATTTATTTTAATTAATATTTCACATATTTTTATAATAGTGAAAAGATAAGAATCATAAACCAAAACACCACATAGTGTTTCCAGCAAAACATAAAATAATTGCTAATGTTGCTAACAAACTAAGCAACTAAATGATACTCTCCCTTCTCAATAAAATTAAGAAATTGATAATTTTTAAGAGGTGTTTTAAATGATTAAAAATTTAAAATTTTACCTTAAAGTTTTTAAATTTGATTCTCAATTTGGGTGAGGAGAAATTAAAAGAAAGGAAAGATTATTTTTTTATTATATAATATATCATTTAATATTAAAAAAATAAATAAATTGACACATGTGAGATGAGTAAAGAAAGAAGAAAAGCTACTTCTGATCGTGCAGCACATAAAAAAAAAACAAAATTTACTTGATGCTGAGGTGCAGGTTTTCCTATTCAATTTGGATGAAAGTCTTGAATTGGTGGGGATTTAATTATGCGTTGAGTGGCAATTGTAATGATGCCTTTAAATAACATTATGGGATGATGAGACATAACAGATGTTGGATGTTATTATGGTTTACTGTGGTCGATGTGGATAGCTAGGCATGAGGTGATTTTCAACAACAACATCATTGAAGTGGAAAAAATTTATAAGTTAGCGCAAGTACGGTCATTTGGCTGGATAAACGGAAGACAGGAAGGATGGGTATTTTCATATGATAAATGGGGCAAATCGTGGCAGATGTGTAATTCCAAGAAAATAGAAATACTTTTAAGTAATAGGGAGGGGAAAGATATTTTCAAGTGTACCATAACCAGTGATTGAGTTGTCCCTTGATTGATCATTGATGTAATATGGATTCGAGTAACTTTTATACCCAATAATAAAATTAATTATTGTTAAAAATACGCATCGGGCCTAGAGGCCTACTAGCATTAGTCAGCTTGTTAGGTGCATTCTTTTTTCTCCTGAGCGGGTTTCGAACCCGTCCCATGTCAAAATGTTAAAAAAAAAAATTATTGTTAAAAATACATAACAAAAAATTATTAATTGAGTAATATTTAAATATATCAACATCTAAATAATTATGAAATGCTCTTTTTAGTTTTTTTTCAAACATTACATTTAGTAGTACCTTTAAAAAGTTAATAAACAAAATAAAAATGAGAATGTTTTCATGATTTAATAATCACTTTTTTTTAAAAGATTTTTTATGCAAAGTGTAACAAATGTATTATTCGAATTCCACTCATAACTTTAAAAAAATATAAATAAATAAACAAAACAAATATATATTAAAAAAAAAAAAGCAAAAGGAGAGTACAACTCCATGGTTTTTAGTATGCTTTAGCCTTCCTTCCATGGACTTAACTCTTGAATCATTGTTGTATCTCTATATTATGGGGAGAAGGTTAACTCCATGAGTAATGATAAGCGGGACGACATCGGGGGACGAAATTGGGGGACAACAAGCATTGTAGAGGTTAAATTAGTAATTACATCACATGCATAAATCCTTTCAATACTTGTCGTCTTTCAATTTCGTCCCCTGGTGTCGTCCCGCCTATCATTACTCTAATTCCATGGAAACAAGGTTTTAAAGCATATAGTAGGAGAGTACAACTCCATGGTTTTTCAATTAAAGTATTTTTATAAAAAATAGAGTTTATTAATAATTTAAAAAAATTACATCTTTATCTCTATTTCATGACATTATAATCTAAAGAATGAAGCGTAACCTGTAACATTGGTAACAAATTTCAATTATATACATGTTGGATATAGATAATTGGTAGCCAATTTAAATTATGTATATATTGAATATAAACAATTAAATAAAAAAAATTATCTATAATTAGAGATTGTATGTGTAATTATTGTACATACATGCTAGATATAAACAAATTTTCATTATATACATGGTGGATATAAAAAATTGATAACCAATTTAAATTATGTACACACTGAATATAAACAATTAAATAAAAAGTCATCTGTAACTAAAAATTGCGTATATAATTGCTGTACTAGCATTATTGAGTATAAAGGAGGCTGCTACTGTAGAGAGGAAAGTCACCATGCACATTCAAAGCTTCTGTACATTCTCGAAGAGCAAGAGAGCACAGCAACAACAGTTCCCATCCTGCTAGTTATGGCCCTAACCATTCATTGGACATGAAAAACAATTTGTCAACTCCAGATCATCCTCATGGTACTTAATATTTATTCACCTTGATCTGGTTTAGTTGTCTTATTTTTTTATTTTTAATAACATATTAAATATTAATATTTTAATTTTACTTATCTCCAAAGAAATAGAAATGTGTTAGAATTTTTTTATTTAATTATAAGTATGGGTGTAAATGAAAAGATAGGTTATAATTATTATAATAAATAAAATTTTAAATTG